CTTCGTGAAGTAAGAGTTTTGATCAACTTAATCTGTCAACCAGATCTGATCTGCGACGATCCACGGATATTAACGTTCCCGGTACAGACAAAGATCTCACTCAAACAGAGACTAATAAATATGATCTGTGTGTTGTTTGATAAAGTTATAATCTTTTATTTTTTATTGTGTAAGGAGATCTTATAAAAAGATCAAATTTTTTATTTTGTGAACTTGAAATCAATAAACGATTGTAACAGGTTCAATGGCAATGAAGAAATCAACCTTTGACCCAAACAATCCCCATAAGAGAGAGTTCTCCATCCACAGCATGGTCCAATCCCCCAGTACTCCCGACGCTCCTTCAAGAAAGCCACTATGATTTGTTACTTTCAGGGAGTATAATACCGGCTAGTGGATTCCCTCCCCTAGAGAGATTCCACCATAAAAGGTACCAGGTAGCTTCTGGTCGTGCCCTCAAACCTCACATGGAAAATGTCATTCGACATAATTTATGGTGTAAGGATAGTTACTTTTGACAAAATCTAATGTACCAACCATCCGCCTTCAAAGCCTCACTAGAGATACAGAGACAAAAGGAACCTCGGCTGATGAGATGACAAATAGAGTTTCGATTCATCTTTGTCATACCAACAAGTTGTCTACTAAGAGAACAAGCAAAATCCATCTAAAAGAGGTTTTGTACTAGGGGCCTCACCCCCTACAAAATTGCCTTTTAAGCAGTTTCCAAAGCAAGATCACAAGACCCCTTTGTTTCAGTATTAGATGTCTGCAAAGGATATTTTTTATGGTAATATAAAATACATAACTGATAAAAAGTTATTCAAATATGAATTAACTCTGATCTTGCTAGGATCAAGGCTTCATTATGGCCAAAGACATAGGCATCATATAAAACCTAGGCACCTCAATCAAGCCCTTGGCTCTTTATCAAGGTAAGCTGTAAAAACCCGTAAATTTAAAAAAAAAATCATGATAAATATGTTTATGCTAAAAAATAACATATTTTGATGTTTGAGTATGATATAAATTTATTTGAGATCAATTCAATATATATTTGAGAATATATGAGTGCAAATGCACAAAACATGCATGAAGAGAAATTTGGGAAAAATAACTAGTTAAGAGTTTATATGTTTTACACAACGATACATTTGGTATCTAGAAACACTCAAAAGACCAAAGTTATAGGTCTCTTCAAAAGCTTTTCAACAAATCTTAAATCATCTAATTATGAGGTCGGATGAGAAAGTTACAGCCAAAATATAAAAGATGATTTTCCTAGTCAAACTAGGTTTTTTGGTACGAGTCAAACGTGTTTGTTTCTATAAATACATATGTTTTTCACGAAAAATCCTCTTTTTTATCATATCTCTGAACCCTAGTAGCCACGCTCTCCCCTCAAAAACCCTAGATCTTTTTCTTATGAATTTTGAGAGCTTTATGAAGCATAATAACAACACGAGGGCGAGATCATCGACGTGTGGTAAGAGAGAACGTGTTGTTTGTACTTATGGATTGCTTGTTGTTTGTTTCAGAGGCTTGCACATGATTTTAAGGCAAGATCCCTCTTGCTCAAATCTGAATTTAAGATTTATTATACATTATATGCATATTTTGACTGTATTGTGGTTGGTTGTAGTTTTTAAATTGTGATATAATTATCTGCGTGAATTGTTTGATGATAGATAAGAATAACTGATATTGTAAGGATAAGAATTAATAGATTTTTATTTTTAAAGATTATTTTTAGAATAATTATAATGAGAAAGAATTTATTTGGAAAATGGGTAGTTTTGAATAATCATTAAAATAGATAATTTAAATTAATTTATTTCGAAAAAGGGTCATTTTGAGTTGTTAAGTTATTTCGGCAAAAGAATTGTATTTTTGATAATTATGATGATTTAGAAGAATTTATTTGTAAAAAGAATTATTTATTTTGGGTTTTAAGTAAATTATGATTTTATATAAGTAGTTGTAGACTATGACATTCCATGTGCAAAACAATCACAGTTTTCGATTTTATTTTTAATCGTAGTCATATTGGATGTTATTTTGCTACTGATAAGTTGTATGAGTAGTTTAGATAGTTGGATAACGATATATTGCTGAAACCGGACTACATATATGTTTTTACTGTTTATGATCACATTTCATGTTTTGTATTTATTTATTATATTTAACATGTCTGCTATGTATTATCCATGTTGTAATTGAGAACCTTAGTAGTTCATGACTTAGTAGCCTCGTGCGTCATGAACAAACTTAGTGACATGTGTGGGTATGTTGACTAAAATTAGGTGGTGAACCAGAGTTTAATAGGGATTTTAATCGTTGATTTAGAAAAACGAGAAGAGTTGGGATGAAGAAGTTAATGTTCATATGATTGGATAAGGCTGTTAATGTATTTTTCAGGCTCGCGCCAGTGAATTCCTGTAGTCACTGGGGTTGGTTTGTTGGGTTAAAGTGAATTCGTGTAGTCACTTTAGTCCGTGACCTGTTTCGTCACCTGAGCTTTTCCTGAGTTCGAACAAGACCGAGATCGGATTGCTTGTAGTCCTCTTACCGATTCATGTAGCGGTATTGGATGCGTGTAGAGGATTTGTGGACAACCAGTTATCCGTTGATATGAGCGTTGACTTTATTTGAGATGTTGACGAGTGAGTTGTGATAGGATAGCTAGTACTTGACCCAGTTATCGTATGTAGTTAGATTTATATTATCATGTCTTAGTAGTAGATTTTCATGTTGATTTGTGGATTTTTAGTTGTACGTTCTTTTGTTATTTCTGTGGTCGTATCATTTCCGCTTGGATTTTCGTTCGCTCTATTTTATTTTGTGGGATCTTTCCGTGTGCCATGCACGTTGACGTACACCTGTTTTCTCTGGTGTACGTCAGACTTAGAGGAAGGACATGTCCAGCTTGGAGATACGCCAGGAGTCAAAGGATTCTCAACAGGAGTGTCTTGCAGATAGACAGAAGAAGAAGCCGAAGCTTAGTTGATGGTCCTAGTTTACTTTTGTAGCTCTTTCTTTTTCCATTGATCGATATATTTTTGTATCTCTTCAGCATTCATTTGTTTAATTTTGTATAAGGGTATGTTGACCCGAACTTTATATATTGGATGATATTTCTTTTATGATATGGATATTTTGTTCTGAGTTTGTCTATTATATTCTGTTAACTGTGATCGGGGACCTGTGCCTTTGTATTTATTTTTGACGCTTAGCGTATTAGGTTGAGGAGGAATGTTCATTTTTAATTATTCTCCTTAATCTAATACGTCACGGGCTTGTTCACGTTCCGATTCCCCTGTATATATATATACACACACGTACTATAAATTATAATAAAAGGAAAATTTTATTTATATACAAATAAAAGATCTCAATACATAATACCTTTTTAATTGTCGCTTTTTCACATAAGAATTCAAAAAGTAACATAAATAATACTAAATAAATTCCATATCGTTATCTTTAGTCCTTTTTAACCGGTCTATGAAGTTCTTTCCTGTTTAAAATGTGAATAAAAATGATAGCTCTTGGTTTCACAACAACTAACTTCAAATTAGAGGGTCAATCTCCCATGGGCAACAAAATGGAAAGAAGGTGTGTTTGGTAATCAAGGTGGTTTTCTTGTTGTGTTTTTGTAGAAAAACACCATGCCATGGTGTTTTTAGAAGTGTTTTGAAAACAACATTTTAAAAGTTATTGTCAAAATGTGGGCGCGGCGCGACCACGACTGTCGACCTGCCGCGGACGGTGGCCGACGAGTGGCCGACGTTCGGATTGGCATGCTGGGCGGGCGGCCCGGTGACATTGGCGGCGGCGCAGCGGGCCGGACCTGTGCGCTTAGCGTGAAAAGGCGGATCTCAAACACTTGTTTTGCGTGCTTTTGAAAAAGTGTTTATTTTTTTTTGGTTTTGTAAAAGCGGTCAAGTCCAAAAAAACACCATGCTTACCAAACCTACTTCCATTGTAAAAACAAAAACAAAACAAGAAACGAACCAATAGCCCCGATTGCCTCAAAACCTCCCTTAATGGCTTCCTTATTGCTTTTTGCGTCTTTGCTGCATTGTCGTGCCCCCAAAGTTTCCTGAAATTTCTTCTTGATTTTCCAAAATCCTTTTTTGAGAAGAGAATAGACGTCGCGCGCACCAACGAGGCGAAGGCAGCTCCAGCCGAAAGGCGGCCGATGGAGCCGCGTGTGACGAGGATTTCAGATCCTGCCTCCACTTCACAAAAAAAATGAATATGTGAGGACCACTACATAATCACATTGCCATTGATTATCACTAAGTTGATGGATTATGATTTTTTCTTTTTTAGTACAAATTGGAATGAGGCAATACACCGAGGGTATGAATAAGTGTTCTAGATTTAAGATTGTATCATAACCGCCCTACCTAAATAATCAATGCTTGAGATTAAAAGTAGTGGTCTCATCACTATTTTTTGAGCTGGAGAGGATCCAAATCCGGGTGGAACCGGAGTTTGTACGAGCTCAGGATTAGGGGGGGGGGGGGCGAGTGCCTAAAGATTTCTACACTCCTTATATTACGAGCGATTCAGATCCTGCCTCCACTCCACAAAAAAAAGAGTATGTGGGACCACTACAGTAATCACATGCCATCTGATTATCACTAAGTTGATTGGTTAATGATTTTTTCTTTTTAGCTACAAATTGGAAATTGAGGGCAATACACGAGGGTATGAATAAGTGTTTAGATTTAAGATTTGGTAATCATAACCGCCCCGCTACTAAATAATCAATGCTTGAGATTAAAAGTAGTGGTCTCTCACTATTTTTTGTAGTGGGACGAGGCATCCAAATCGCGGGTGGACCCGGACGTTTGTACGAGCTAGGATTAGGGGGGGGGGGGCGGAGTCTTAAAGATTTCTAATCCTATATATTACCTCTCACAAAACTCCAGCCCGAGCCCATCTACAGCCCATCAACGATAGGTCTCCGGCCCAACATTTGGACCCGCAGCTCTCTCAATTTCAGCCGTCAAATGTCGCACGCCATCCACTAATCACCGTGACACCGTCAACCTACCGCCTCCTCTAGAAAAAAATCCCCTTCCTCCGGCCTCCGCCTAGCTGGGCACACGTTAGTCAAATCGAGGTCTTAAGTTATTCCTCATCTCTCCCTTCTTTCCGTTTTCTTCCACGTTTCTAATAACATTCCTTTGCGTTTCTCTCTGGTCCCTCGATGGCGAATCCTTACTACGGTTCTGGACCTTTGCGATCCAGGTAAACCCTAATTTATGCAGAGCGCCCTCAGTTTCGTTAAGTTTTCGACCAATTCCTCTTTTGACCCCCCGACTAATTTCTTTAAAATTATGAAAATTATGCAAGGCCGGCGGGGAATTCAGATGAAATCCAGTTGCAAATCGATCCGATTCATGGCGATTTGGACGAGCACATCACTGGTCTCCATCAAAAGATTCGAAAACTCAAAGGGGTTAGTTTTCATGGCTTTATCTTCTCTGTTTTTTTTTTTTTCGTTTACATGTTTCCGAAATGTACTATTCTTGAAACAACTTTGATCCGGTCCTGCAAACCCTAGAGCCGGTAAAAATTTTGGAAGAAAGAAGCTAAGTATCTTTCAATTAGATTATGAGGGCATGATTTAGATACGTGAGAATGTGATCTGTCCTTGGAGTTTAGTTTTATAGACATGATTTAGATTTGAGATTGTCTTGTGAAAGAATTAGATTTTTATATCATATTCATGGTGATTTGTTGGTAGTAAAATTTTGGGATTACTTGCTCAATGCGCTACATGTATGTGAGAGCAATAATTTATTGATTAAGGCCCTTTCAATTCCGCTTTATCAGCATCCTAGAATTTTCTTGATGAAGTAGGGTAGGTGAGTTTATTGTTGAAAGCCGAGAATGCTCCTAACGTATGATGGTCAATATCAAATAGTGCACAATTAACCCTCTTTTGCTTATGCCTGCCCGATAGTAAGTTTAAATATTCTAAACATTCATACAATGTTTTGGCATCAATCTTATATATAGTTGATATTACACTTCTTTTATACATTTTAATATGACATTTTAATATTTAATATCAAGTATTTTGCTCTTTAATCTCTGTTGATTATGGTGATCTCATTTAAAACTTTGGTCATCTTTGACTTTTTTAGATCACAGTGAGATCATTACGTAATTTGGCGATTTTCTCTTTACTTTAAGCATCTCTATTTGATTTTATATCCTAAGTTGAGACGTTGGATCTGACTGTTAGAATATTTTATTGATTAGGGCATTGCAATAGTTAAAAATGTGATTGAAATTCCTGCTTAGTTGATATCGATAAAAGCAGTGAATTAGACATTGTGTATGAATTAGCACGCCCTTATTCCCTTTTTGCAATAATTTCTAAATTTACGACTATTATATTAGTATCAATTGTTAAGGTGTTAACAACATTTTTTATTACACAAATGCGTGTGTTATGACATGCTTGCGTCGCATACATGAGGATAAATCTGGATTGTCACAACATTTTTATGGATTGACATTTATGTTAGCAAAAATATTTTTGGCTTTATTATTTTGTGAATTGCTTCAATTACTGAGTTGTCGCTTACAATGTTTTGCACAAATGTGATACTTTATCATGCACGCGCCCCCTGCACTGGGAGTATTAGTTTAATATCAAGAGAAGGGGATATTTTAATGACAAACTTGTGTGTGCGTGCTATTTGTTTAGAGTTTACTTGAGTATCATAAGAAAGTGGCTCGCAAGGCATCATGGCTGATGTTGTTTTAAGATATTCTTCATATTACATTCTACTTGAGTATTTTCTCTCTTGAAGTAGTGTCGAACAACAACAATGGATAAAAGAGGAAATAGCATTTGACATAACTAGATGCTAATTCTTTGTTTAATAAGGATATGGAAAGCAAAGAAAAGATTTCCTAACTAAAAGTAGTAAATGAAAACCATTATGTTGTTTTAAGTTCCTTTTGATAGAAGATTAGAGGCAAATATTGGGGTTTATTGTTTGCAATTATGCTAACAGAAAATAGATTTTATGAATCCTGCTGCATTTTACCATATGCCTATTGTAATTCGAGTCGCACTCCAAATGAAAAACCCAGTTAGTCTATACGTCAAACATCTCAATTTCAAGATGCTGGGCATTGGTCAGTGCACATAAAATCGTAAAAGGTCAACTTTGCCTCGCTTCTAAGTTCTAATAGAGCATCCAGGTCAATGTTATAGCTAAGGACCCTTCACCTGGATACAAGCCTACAACCTTTTGTATCATTTCAAGTGGATATAGTTCCTTTCATTTTCCATAAACAAGACAGACCTTGAACTTTAGGCGGATAGATCTTTTTTGAATTTGACAATTGAATAGGTTTTTAACATATGCAGGGGTACCTACTGTATGGACGTGACCGGTCCTTTTCATTGAAACTAGTTTAATGTAGTATTTATCTGCATTTTGTGTTCAAATTATCTTCTAGTGACATTCTAGTATCATAAGCAAGATAATATGTAAATTGATGTGCATGCAAAGTGAGAAGGAAGAAGGATATGCATCAATATTCGCCAGAGAAAGGTGCTCACGCACGTGTGTGTGCCCGTGTGTGTACGTGCATCGGGGAGGGAGGGATCGAGGGAGAAGGGAGAAGGGTGGGGTGGACCCGGAGTGGTTTGTTTGGGGGAGGGAGTGGAGGAGAGGGAGAGTCTCCAAAAAATCCAGAAAAAGATTCTAAGTACACCATGTTCAACAAGAAAAGAAGCTAAAAAGAGTGCATGTAGAAATAAATTGCCCAGTGTTCCATCATTTTCTGGCCATCACGTGAATATCTGATGTTAAGGCCAATTGGCACTCATGCATGGTAAACTTGTCCATGTCTTTTCTTTTAAGCTGTAGGTCCTGAATATATGATACAGATGTATCTTCTCTTCGGGAGCTTAGCGATCCTCATGGGAGCTTGATGATAGATGATTCTCATGATAGCATGAGAATAGGGGTGTAAAACAGTACAGTGGACCGCAGGTGGAAGCATAGAACGAGACGACGAGTAGCAGATTCGAAGAATCCAGTTTTTAGCTCGTGAGTCGACTCATACATGTACATGAGTCGACTCATCAGGTTGAGTCAACTCATGACTGTCATGAGTCGACTCACGAAATCAAGCCCTGTTAGCAACAGTCTCTGATCAGTCGACTCATCAGTTATGAGTCGACTCATATGAGGTCATGAGTCGACTCATCTCAGTCATGAGTTGACTCATCGACAGTTTTCTGATTCGTTTGGGTTTCTGTTCACACGAATTCCTGTTGATTTTGGGCTTGGTTATTTACCAGATTGTCATCCACGTTTGTACACCTATATAAATGGTTGTTTAGGATTTCTGAACATAAGTTTTTTGATCTTAGATCAGAGAGAGATTCTAACATTGTATTAGAGTTTAGAGAGGATTGAGAGGTTGTTCTCGACTCTAGTGAGATTGTGAGGGAGAGATTGTAATATTTTGTTCTTCATAATCTAGAAGAAGGTATTTTCCTTCTCATACTGAATTGTCTTGTGTTTTAGTTATCTTTTTCTCAACTCATCTTTTGGTAATTCCGCGATCAAAGGGTGCTCGTACGGTAACTCGTATCAAGTTGGTATCAGAGTAATCAGATCCTGTGAAAGGGGCATCCTGTGTATGGTCCTTACTCGATCACAGTATAAGAAGCTTGGTGAGATCCTTATTTCATTGGAAAGATTCCAGGTTTTAAGGAGGAAGAAGATGACTGAAGGAGACAATTCTACGAGGATTGATGCATTGGAGAAGCAGATCGAGATGATAGGTTCGACTCTCACACAACTCGTCAGTCTTATCCATAGAGGTGGCAAATAAGGTGAATCTTTTTCGAAGAAAATTATTGAGTCCGATGTGAAGAGAGTAGATTCAGATTCTGACGAGGAGAATGAGATCATTAAGGCTGCATTGCATCAAGGGGTAAGAATTCTTATCAGAACCTGAAGATTGACTTCAAGGTGGAGATTCCTATTTATGATGGGAGTGTTGACGTCGAGAGGCTTGATGACTGGATCGAGCGGATGGAGACGTATTTTACTCTTTATGGTTATTCGTCAAAAGAGAAGATTGTGTTTGCGATTTTAAAACTTTAAGGGCACGCGTTGACGTGGTGAAAGTCCTATTGCAAACAGAAAAAGAAGGCGATATCGTGGAACAAGTTCAAGGAGTTACTAAGGAAGCAGTTTTACCCGGTGGGATTCCTTGAAGAGCGTTGGTACAAGTGGTACGGTTTGCGCCAAAGGGTCAATCAAACCGTTCAAGAATACACCACGGAGTTCTAACAGCAGGCGATGGTCCTCAACATTACGACAGAGAAATATTCCGTGTTTATGAAGTATATGGCGGGATTGAGTGATTACATCCGAAAGGAGATGAGGCTATTCACGGTAGAATCAATTGCAGAGGCGAGCGTGAAGGCTATTGTCCTCGAGGGCAAGCAAAAGAAGGACAACGGGGCTAAGGGAGACTCCAAACAGACGGGAGGCGAGTCTAGTGGTTCTCAATCTAAGGAGGGGAAGAAGAATGGTGATCCCGAGAAAGCAGGGCTGATTTGTAGTCACTGCGAGAAGACAAGGCACACAGCTGATCGGTACTGGGAGAAGTATCCTCATCTCAAGTCAAGAGGGTTGAAGAAGGAGGAGAAAAAGACATACATGATAGCTCAAGGTCCGAAAAAAGTCCCGGGGATGATAGAGCCCAACAGCAGTCTTAACCTTATAACGGGGAAACAGACCACGAAAGAGGACGACGACCCGAGAGAGCAACTCTTTGTTCTTAAGTTGCAAGTGATGACCAGTTTGGTTGATGTCATTGTTGATTCGGGCAGCGAGAAGAATTTGATATCCGAGGCATTGGTTCAGAAGCTGGGTCTGAAGACGGTCAAGTATCCGATGTCCTATCCATTGGGGTGGATTCAGAACGAGGAAAAATTAGGTGTAGTTGATCAATGCACTGTCAGATTTGTGCTCCACGAGTCGTATATTGACGAGGTTACGTGCGATGTCGTTCCATTGGATGTTTGTCAGATTATACTGGGCAATCCGTACTTATGGGATAGATATGCGATCTACGAGAGGCAGGCTCAGAAGTACACCTTCACTAAGAATGGTGAAAAGTTCATATTTCGTTCGGCATCTCTTCCGAGGGAGGTAAGCTTGGGGACGGTGACGCGAGTGAAGAGACTAGTGAATGCAAACAAGAAGTTTGTCTCGCTGTGCATTAGACTTTCAGAAAAGCCATCGATAAATGATTGTAACTTAGAGCGAACGGTGACTGCGACGAGACGCGGAACGAATGAGTTGTTTCCGATCGGACGTCGAGACCGAATTCTTAGCAAGGCCAGGTGGTGCAGAAAAGATGGAGGAGCTCGAGAGTTTTCTCAGCAAAAGTTCTAACTTGAATGAGACTTCAAGTTCCTAAAGAGAGGACCCATGATACAAGTGTATCTTCTCTTCGGGAGCTTAGCGATCCTCATGGGAGCTTGAGGATAGATGATTCTCATGATAGCATGAGAATAGGGGTGTAAAACAGTACAGTGGACCGCAGGTGGAAACGTGAAACGAGACGACGAGCAGCAGATTCGAAGAATCCAGTTTTCAGTTTGTGAGTCGACTCATACATGTACATGAGTCGATTCATCAGGTTGAGCCGACTTATGAAATCAAGCCCTGTTAGCAAAAGTCTCTGACCAGTCGACTCATATGAGGTCATGAGTCGACTCATCTCAGTCATGAGTCGACTCATCGACAGTTTCCTGATTCGTTTGGGTTTCTATTCACACGAATTCCTGTTGGTTTTGGGTTTGGTTATTTACCAGATTGTCATCCACGTTTGTACACCTATATAAAGGGTTGTTTAGGGTTTCTAAACATAAGTTTTTTGATCTTAGATCAGAGAGAGATTCTAATCTTTGTATTAGGGTTTAGAGAGGATTGAGAGGTTGTTCTCGATTTTAGTGAGATTGTGAGGGAGAGATTGTAATATTTTGTTCTTCATAATCTAGAAGAAGATATTTTCCTTCGTCATACTGAATTGTCTTGTGTTTTAGTTGTCTTCTTCTTAACCCACCTTTTGGTAATTCCGCGACTAAAGGGTGCTCGCACGGCAACTCGTATCAATATATGGTTCCTTTATACTAATATAATAGTTCATAAGCATTGTTTCTTAAAGATAGCAATTAACTAAACTAGTGACTGTAATATTATGTTAAAGTTCATTTTCACATGAAAAACAGTAGCGGACAAATTTTCAAAAGAGACCCATTTAGATTTTTATTCCCAAAAAAATACCTCATTCAAACAAAATTGTAAAAACCGACCTAGTTTCAGCCTCAGCGCTGAAACCAGGTCGGTTTTTTAAAATTTTTTTTCGTAACTTCACGGGAGTTGAACTCCCGTGAAGTTTAGTAGATCTGCTAAACTTCACGGGAGTTCAACTCCCGTGAAGTTTCATAGTTCAAAAATTCAACTCCCGTGAAGTTTAGCAGATCTACTAAACTTCACGGGAATTCAACTCCCGTAAAGTTACGAATTTTTTCTTCTTCAAAAACCGACCTGTTTTCAGCGCTGAGGCTGAAAGGCTGAAACCAGGTCGGTTTTTGTAATTTTGTTTGAATGAGGTCGTTTTTTGGGATTAAGTTCACAAATGGGTCTCTTTTGAAAATTTGTCCAAACAGTAGCAGAATGTATAGAATGCGTCCTGCAGCCTCATCAAACCTCATACAACATATTTTGTTACATACTCAACCATCATGTCATCTTAAGTTTCTAGAAGTTGCATGGACAATTATGTGTTAAGTGCAGGCACTTTCCAGTTTAAATCTCTCTGCTATAAGAATAATTGTTTTGATGTGAAGTTTTGTCAGTGGCCTACATTATCTTTATACTTGTTTTTTCCTACGTATGACAAAACTGTTGTGTACAGGTCTTTTACATGTATATCCCTTACATCAACCATATTTTAAAAGAAAAAGGTTCTAATATCAACATATTTGTCAATTTAACTCGCAAATCATGCAGGGCCTTATAATTTCACTTATCCTTCCCCTTCCCCTTATCAGGACGTATAGAATGTTGTGTACAGGAAGTTTTGTTGATTCTATGTTTAATATGAACATGGTATGTCTTCTGAATGGTCCAATTCTACCCTTATCCTTCCCCTTCCCCTTCTTCCTCCAACTAAAACTCATAGAACACCTCCCTTCTTTAAGGAATGAGACTACTGTGTATATTTTTGCCAAATATGATTTGGAAGATTGTTTTAGGAATATAAAAGATCCGATGAGTGCATATAAAATACATTCTTTTATTTGCACTTTTTTTTTGTGGTATTAGTTCCATTCATTGCTCTGTTCCATTTTCTTTTTCAAGTGTTTAATTTGTTGCTATTTAAACTTGGATTTGCAGGTAGCTCAGGAAATTGAAACAGAAGCGAAGTTCCAGAATGACTTTATAACTCAATTGGTAATCTCAGATTTTAAATAAAAATTTCTGGTTATTTATTTCCTTTGCATGTTGAGAATATATTAGTGGTAAATGAATTGTTGCCTCTATCAACTTCTTTTGATTATTCATTCATAATCGTAAGAAAAAGTGTTATGCCTGTATATATTTCATCTGATTTTTGGCATGCATTGGGTATTTCATGTTTCCAACCAGCTACTTAAGAGCTTAGAAAAATCTTTCTGTTTCCAACCAGCTACTTAAGAGCTTAAAAAAAAATCTTTATTACATTTGCTTGTTCTGGAAATCTGTGTTTTTCATGTTTATCATTTAAAAATGATTTGGTTCATTTCAATCTTAAAAAGACCTTAATTTATGATTTGGATGGTGACTCTTAGTATGTTGGATTGAAGTACCAAATAAAGCAGGTCCTGCAACTGGATCTTGCAGTTTCCAACTTGAATTTATCTATTCAAATATTTCTTAGCCTGTTGTATCCTTTCGTTAGTTATCAAATCTAAAGAAATATTGCCTATAGCCACTATTCTCTGTAGCTCTTCTGACCAAGTGCTTGATGCACATATTTCTCCCCTACTATAATTTGCATTACCAGATATTTGAAAGGATTCACAACATATATGCTGTATTTTTCAGTTTCTTTGGCTGATGTTGGTAGGCTGCTCACAAGTCTGTATTTAAAAATGTATGTGGCAGAGTTACATGGTAAATGAAAATGCAATAATGATTATGCTTTTTTCGGCTGAACAAATGCAATAATGATATACTTTGGCAATATTGATAACCTTTTGACACGTGTTTTTCATAAAAAAAAAATCAAATTCTGATCTTGATCTTCAAACATTTCCAACTTTGATCCCTATATATTTCATCTTTTTCCTAAAAGAAATAATTGCAGTTTTTTTTCTTGGAACAAATGGTGCATCCAATATATTTCTGTTTTTCTGTCTTGTCCTACTAGTATGCCAAAGCTTTTGGTGTCAGGTTGAGAGCCCTTCATCTAACCTTGTTGAAATTTTACCTTAATAATTTGAGCAAAACGGAAAGAGTTTGTAGACTTTTAGTTGTGGCACTTAATCTGAGAGTTCTCGAGTGTAATTTGGTGCAGCTGTTGAAAAGTCTAAGCATAGGCTACGCTTTGGTTAAGATATTTGTAGCAGGACTTCTTTGTTAAATAAATTTCTTTATAAGAGGTAAACCATAAAGCTATTTAAATGTAACTTCTGAGCGTCAATACATGTTGCAATGGTCTGTTTTAGAGCTTGCTAATTGTCTCTTCGTGCATATAAAACCTGGAAATTCTTAAGCACATGGATCCATGTGATTATTGGAATCTGAACCATGGAACTCTTATCCCATATTTAATCAACATTTCAGTTCCCTATGCTCCCATTGAGTTAGTTTCAGTTGTATGAATGTCAGATAATTGGATACTTTCAAGACCTAGATTCATATTCACTTTGAATATTATATCAGCGGAAAAGCATGAAACGGAGCTTTCAAGGACTTTGAAGGAAGTAAGAGGTGTTGGGGCTCACCAGGTTCTTGTATGTCTCCAATTGACTCATAAACCAGTTGTGGTCTTTGATTAGGGGTCGTGGTTGAACCTAGGGGTGTCCATTTGGGCCCAAGGCCCGGGCCCGCATGTGCAATGCACGTGGTTAAATACTGTGATTAGGTATTTTTGGTTTATTTTCTTACTAAAATTTGTTTGTCGGTTACTCTTTGATAATTTTTGCTCACTTTGATTAAGTATTTTTGGTTTATTTTCTTACTAAATTTTGTTCCTCGATTATATATTTATTTGATGTTTGTTTGAATAGGTTACACAGTTTAAATGTTTATGTTGATAGTTGAATTGTCAGAAGATAAATATAATCTAAAGCCAATTTAAAATTTCATTTTATTTGGATCGGCATGAAACCGATCTTGACTTGAGGAAGTATAGTGTTATGAAAGTGAAAACTGTTAAAAAAATAACATTATAAAAGGAAGATAATAATAAAGCCAACGAGCCAAGATGATTGATTTAAAGTGGGCTAAAATGACAGAAAACAGTTAATAGAAAAAAAATCATAAACTGAAGATTAATGTCAACTCTAGTATACTTTTATATGATAAAAACATCCACATATACATATGAAAGCCCTAAAAATAGTTTATGAAAATCCATTCTAAAGATTCCTAATTTTACTAAAAAAAATAAAACTATTTTATAACAATTCACAAAACATTATCTTTTGTTGCTTCTATTTTATTTTTTATTGAGTCGAGATCAATCATTCTTTATCTTTATCTTTATCTTTTTCATGGGCAATTCTAGAGTAGTGTTTTTATCGTCTACATCGATTGTGATATGAGACTGGAACATGTTATCTTTCCTTAGGCTCATTCATCTTTTGTTTTCTCGTCTAAATTTACAAAGAGGTTAAATATATTTCTTATGTTCAACACAAACTTCTGACAATACGGACTTTGATTTTTTCCAATTTTAATAAGAATAAATGCTAATTTTATATATATGAATTTTTTTTGTTTTTAATTTATTACTTAAATAAGGTTTAAGAGCTACCTCTATTTTCTCTTCAATAAATTTTTGTGTTGTGCATCCAATAAGAATTTTTGTTGTGTCATAATGATACCTTTGCTTTGTATGTGTTATTTTCTATGATGATCTGAACTAAAGACATTATATTTTTCATTGTCAATTTGCTTTAGATTGTAATATTAATATTTAATTTTGATATATTTATTTCATGAAGAAGGGATATCATTTAATCTTGGTACTAAATCATCGACGATTCTACAACATTTATTATCTAGATACTTATTATTAACATCTCTATCAACTTTCTTGTTGTAGCATTTGCAAATATAGAATCACTGCTCAACTCTATTGTAAATGGTAGTTATCGTTACCTTAATTGTGCGATAGTGTGTATGTATATTGATAAATTATTCTTAGGTTTAATTGTATGAATTTTAGAGTAGGTTTTCTAAGATCATACATTATTGATAAATTATTCTTAGGTTTAATTGTATGAATTTTAGAGTAGGTTTTCTAAGATCATACATCTTTCGAATGTTATAATGGTTGTATATTTAATTGTATGAATTTTAGAGTAGGTTTTCTAAGATCATACATCTTTCGAATGTTATAATGGTTGTATATGTTAGTAATTTGAATTTCTGATGCATTTATAAAGAGCTTTAATGAAGATGTTTTTGTCTTGACAGCTTACTCTAAAAGAACGTTACATATTAGTTTTAAAATGTAATACTTTTTCTTTACGGTGTTATTGATGTTTGCTTAGTTTACTTACTATTCTCTTATTTCTTCAGTAAATTATATCTTTGGATTGATATATATTATTGGCGTAATTTACAATGGCATGCATATCCCCTCTATAAATTTGAGCCAGATATAAGGTGAATTTATATTTAGTGGCATTTAATAAGAATTTTAGTAATAAAATATACCACCTTCATATTTAGAGATATTTAATTCTAATAGTGCTATTACATCGTTATTTTTTATCGTGTCTTTAAGAATTGATCATTCGTTAGTAGTCATACCCCTAAATAAAGCTACACAAGATCGTGATACTATATAAGCAAAAGAAAAAGGTCGATTTTATAGTTTTTTGCTTAGGTAGAGTCATGATATAGTACTTTTTCTTTTATCTTCCATGAAAAATGTTTATTTGATTGGAACAAAGTTGTGCAATATATTTTTCAAGGGGTATTCAATCAGTGTTTCTTTGATAAATATAATTTATGTTAGTGTTAATTGAAGTGATTTATGGACGTTTCGAATTCCATTTGAAATGAAAACTACTTGATTCTTTTGAAGGATGTCTCTAAATTTTCTAATAGTTCTCCATACATAAATCTTTATAATCTTTTACCCTATAAATATCATTACCATTACACCTCGTTTGGTACGTGGGAATGAAGTCAAGTGAGAATGGAATGGAAGAAGGAATGGAATGGAATGTATGTGAGAATGGAATGGTCATTCACATTCTCTTGTTTGGGTGCGTTTGTAGAATGAAGCTAGAATGAAAATCTAATTCTCATTCCTATGTTTGGTATCACTAGTTCACAAGTGAGAATGGAATCTCATTTTCTAATAATGCCCTTATAACAACATAGATTTTTAATAAGATAAAAATAAACATTAATGATAATAACTAAAAATTTTATTTATGCACGTGTTATATTAATCTAGGTATGTGTTATACTAATACGCATGTTATCGATCAGGTGTATGTTTCGTTTATATTTTTTAAACAATTCTCAGTATTTCTGCATATGTTATATTAATCTAGGTATGTGTTATAATAATGCCCTTATACCTTTATATATAGTCTAGACATGATATGGTTTTGATAATTTTAATATTTTGGCCAATTTCTCAGTGAGAGTTTCCTCTTTTCATAAATATTGGGTCAAATATTTTTCAATCAAAAGTTAGATTTATTGTTGTGCGTGAATCACAATCAAACATGTACGCAATGGGTACATATAGTTCTCTATGGTGGGAAAACAATAGCAAAGATTAAAAAAGAATATAATATGCTGGTGAAAATAACATACTTTAAACATTGGAGAATAAACAAAAAAATTTGAGTGACAAAAAAAAATTGACATGAAAGAATTTTAATCGGCAAATAATATATAGTTTCAGTTGTATCTGTTTTTATATTAAATTGTGTTGCTCCTATGTTGAGCAATTGTGATATAATAGGCTAATGAAATATGTACCGCTAGTTTTAATATGCTACTGAAATATGTACCACTATTTTTAATCCCTACCCCGCAAAAAAAATCCTATTATTCGAATATAATTAATAGCTGAGAGAAAATGAGAATACGTAGTCAAAAGCCATGATTTTTAAATTGATTTTTATTATTAATAGGGGTATAATTGAAAAAAACCTAACTAATTTGATTCTCCCCTTGAATGGGAATGATCATTCCCTATATTCTCACTTGGAATGTCCATTCCCACAAAAAGTGGGAATGACAATTCCATGGGAATGATCATTCCAACATCTAAAAATAAATTTTGTTTGGTATGAGGGAATGAGAAGTGAGAATGACATTTCATTCCACCCCATCCCCGTTTACCAAACAGGGCCTTAGAGATCAATATTTATAAATTATAATCAATTAATATTAAGCTATTATATTATAGTCTTTTATCAGTTTTTTGTGATTTAATCTTTTATCAATTAATGATACGTATGTATTTTTGCTGCTCTAACATATTGGTAAAATTATATGCAATTACTTTAATTTATACAATAACATTAATTTTTAATCTATCATATATATTTTTAAACTTTTATTCTTTAACTGGATATTTTAATCTGTTATTATTACTATTTGTTTTATCAGTATCAACTTGACTATTTTTAGATTCTGAAAAGGGATAATAAACTTTAAATTATAAGTTGTATTTATATATTTATATATCTTAATGAAATAATATCACACAATTACTCTTTTCTTTGCCAAGTTCTAAATTTTTAGCTTTTTAATTTCTGTAATTTTAAACTTTTGAGAGTATTTTGTCTAATTTTTAAATCTTTTTTCTTTTTTTAATACTTCATGTAATAAACTGATACTATGGAGTCGTTTCATATATTTTATTAATCTTATTTAAATTGTTGAGCTATAGATAGTTCATAGGGTATTAGGATATGATATAAGTATGATTATGATAGATTATAATTTAAATTAAATATTTAAAATAGTACATGGTAATTTTGACTATGAAAAGTTTTTCCCTAACTCGTGCTTTTAAAGGTAATATGATTTTTATTTTACTTAATTTGTTTGGTGGATTTTGTAAATATCTCATCCACATTATGTACATCTGTAGGTCTGTTCCCGGGTTCGACCTTTGGGGTAGACATTATTTATCTCATTAATTTATTTGATTTTTGCATATACGCCCTTCATTTTGTAGACATTTGTAAATTTGGTATTTAATAATTTTATTACGATTTACATTTCAATTTAAAATGTATCCTTATCTTCATACTATGTATATTCAATAAGAATTCATTAATTTATCAACTTACTCTTATTTAATGGAATAATATTTGAATTCCAAGGGTATTTTTGTTTTTGTCTACCGAAAGATTTTTCGAACTTGTGCTTTTAAAGTGAGTATGATATATATATATATATATATATATATATATATATATATATATATATATATGGGTATGCTTGGTACCAAACACAAACTTTATGCTTGGTAGTGAGTGGCACAATCCTCTCCACTCATTCAAATGGGGGATCACATTCACATGGGTGAGGAGTGCATTGTGTATATGTAACCATTTGAATGAGTGAAGGGATTATGCCACCTCCACTACCAATCATAACTTTTTGTGCTTGGTACCAGCATACATATTTCCTCTCTCTCTCTCTCTCTCTCATATATATATTATATATATATATATATATATATTATATATATATATATAATATATATATATATATATATATATCCTTTAGCATGGTATAAACTAAGATATAAGAATTAAGTGAGTATGATATATATATATATTATATATATAAGAAATCATGGGTATGCTTGTACCAACACAAACTTTGTGCTTGGTAGTGAGGTGGCACAATCCTCTCCACTCATTCAAATAGTGGATCACATTCACATGGGTTGAGGAGTGCATTGGAATATGTAACCATGTTGAATGAGTGAAGGGGATTATGCCACCGCACTACCAATCATAACTTTTTGTGCTTAGTACCAAACATACCCATTTCTCGGCTCTCTCTCTCTCTCTAGAGAGAGAGAGAGAGAGAGAGAGAGAGAGCAAGACTCCTATCAACTTAAGTTGATGTCCACCAAAGTTTGTAGCCACACATTTATTAATATAAAATACCTTTTTATATAATACAAGGATCCCTAGGTAATATGAGTGGTTAAAAACTTTGGTGGACACACTATTCCCTATCCACTTAAGTTGACACAAGTTTTCACCTATATATATATATATATACCTTTAGCATGGTATAAATACTAAGATATAAGAATATAAATATATATAATGTAGTTATAAGTATATTTATATGTGTATATTATAGAATTACGCTTATATAAGTGCATAAATATAATTATATATAAGTATATTGCATCTAGTATATATAAAAGTATATCATATAAGTAAATTGTATAACTGTACTTAAATAAGTATAACGTAAGTATGTAATAAATACATATATAATATATATTTATGTGATTCTCTCTCTTAAGTTATAACTTATAAGTGTGTACAATATATTTTACATATACTATATGTATGTATAATATATAGCTGTACACACACACAGTCTTAGCATAGTATAGTCTATAATTGTGATGCGACAAATTTCAAAAGAAATTTGTAATTGTTAGTGATTAACTAATTGTTAATAAAGAATTTATTTTTATTATTTTAATTTCTATGACTTTTTGTATTTGTAAATTATATAATTACAAGTGATTAATAATATGATTGATTTTTTATTAAAATTTTGCTTAATTTATTGTTATTTACTCTTGAAATTTTCTTTAACAAAAAATTAAAACAAAAGAAAATGACCTAGCCGGCCCGGTGCCCGGCCTGCTCGGGCCCCGGGGTTGGACCACGGGTTTTGCCTGGCTAGGGCCCGGTTTGTCGGGCTGGGCCGGGCCTTCCCGTTTGGACAGCCCTTATTGAACCCGAAGTCTTGTAAGCAAGGAATGTTATCAAGTCACAAAGTTTGTAGTAGGTGCATTTGTTTAAATGGAGGAGTTGGTTGTTAGGAAGAAAAGAAATGGTAGTTTA